TTCTCACCGCTATTAAAAGCACGATATTTCTGTGATCACTTACTGTCATTTTCTCACCACTATTAAAAGCTCTAGCCATGTTATGAAATTTTAGGTTTTCATTTGTGGATCCGCCTGTTTGGCAGCAATGACGCGTGCATATGTGCGTGGATTTGAAAAGTAGTTAAATACAAAATTGTTCTAATTTACATACACATTGGAAATATAACATTCCCAATTTATTAATAAATGAGCATTTGCTTAATACTTCAATCGCAAATATGACGGAGTCTGGAATCGATTTGGGCTTTGATATGGAGTTCGATTTAAATATTAGTCTGCTAAATGATAACGACAATATGGATTTTCTACCAAATGTTACTGTAGCAGGAAGTTCCGAAAATGTGGAATTCTACAAATTAAAGTCATCAACTCGGTGTTTACGATCTGATGAAATGTAAGTAACTTGTAATAGTACATGTATATTCAATCTACGTTGTCAATGCGTAAGCGCATGTTAATTAATATTTTCATGATCGATATACGTACATTTGTATAATGATATATTTATATACATACAGTTGAGTGTGTACAAGCATGATGATATTATTTGATGTATGATTAGCGCTATTTTATAATCTTATCACACAATCATATGTATGTAAGCGCATAGATACTTATGTATGTATACTTACATACATATGTATGTATGTATAAACATACACATATACAAAAAAAAAACACAAAACCGAGATTTTGTGATATATATGTACATACAGAAATATCTACATTAAAGTTAGTGAGAATCTACGTAGTACGTTCATATGCACATATTCTAACATATGTACATAGATAAACAAATAAACACCTTGTATGTACATATGGAAGCAATGCAACGTTTAACAGACAATTTGATTAGTAATGGATTTTTTACAATAATAAAGAGCGAAATAGCTCAGGCATACTAACGCGAATTATCTATCGATAACTGAATTGACTCGATAACTCAGAATAGGCGTTAGCACTTCGAAACCGATGGTCTTTGTTTTAATTTATATATTGAAAACACAAAATTTAGGATTAATACATAGAATAGCCGCATATATGATAAATTACAAAAAAATTTCAAATTTACTAGAAATGTCTCAAAAAAGTTATATGTAGAAAATGATCATTGTTGGGGTGTACCTAGATACTAGATACTTACCTAGGTACCATTTTTTGATTATCTTTTACCTTTTACCTTACCTAGGTAAATGATTTTATTTGTCTTAAAAATTTCGGATAAACTTCCAAAAAGACCCAACGCCCGAAAATTTTTAAATTTTCAGGATCCATGTATTTTGCGGTAAGTTTGCGATAAGACCGATTTTTTTGTCAATAAAAACCTATAATATCAACTTTATAAAACATCCTTTGGATAAAAGTTGAAGTTCCAGTCGAAATACACATATCAGGTAAAGTGCCTTTTTGCAAAAAGCGTGTAGCTTTCGAGAATTAAATTATAAATTATAAATTATAAATTATAAATTATAAATTATAAATTATAAATTATAAATTATAAATTATAAATTATAAATTATAAATTATAAATTATAAATTATAAATTATAAATTATAAATTATAAATTATAAATTATAAATTATAAATTATAAATTATAAATTATAAATTATAAATTATAAATTATAAATTATAAATTATAAATTATAAATTATAAATTATAAATTATAAATTATAAATTATAAATTATAAATTATAAATTATAAATTATAAATTATAAATTATAAATTATAAATTATAAATTATAAATTATAAATTATAAATTATAAATTATAAATTATAAATTATAAATTATAAATTATAAATTATAAATTATAAATTATAAATTATAAATTATAAATTATAAATTATAAATTATAAATTATAAATTATAAATTATAAATTATAAATTATAAATTATAAATTATAAATTATAAATTATAAATTATAAATTATAAATTATAAATTATAAATTATAAATTATAAATTATAAATTATAAATTATAAATTATAAATTATAAATTATAAATTATAAATTATAAATTATAAATTATAAATTATAAATTATAAATTATAAATTATAAATTATAAATTATAAATTATAAATTATAAATTATAAATTATAAATTATAAATTATAAATTATAAATTATAAATTATAAATTATAAATTATAAATTATAAATTATAAATTATAAATTATAAATTATAAATTATAAATTATAAATTATAAATTATAAATTATAAATTATAAATTATAAATTATAAATTATAAATTATAAATTATAAATTATAAATTATAAATTATAAATTATAAATTATAAATTATAAATTATAAATTATAAATTATAAATTATAAATTATAAATTATAAATTATAAATTATAAATTATAAATTATAAATTATAAATTATAAATTATAAATTATAAATTATAAATTATAAATTATAAATTATAAATTATAAATTATAAATTATAAATTATAAATTATAAATTATAAATTATAAATTATAAATTATAAATTATAAATTATAAATTATAAATTATAAATTATAAATTATAAATTATAAATTATAAATTATAAATTATAAATTATAAATTATAAATTATAAATTATAAATTATAAATTATAAATTATAAATTATAAATTATAAATTATAAATTATAAATTATAAATTATAAATTATAAATTATAAATTATAAATTATAAATTATAAATTATAAATTATAAATTATAAATTATAAATTATAAATTATAAATTATAAATTATAAATTATAAATTATAAATTATAAATTATAAATTATAAATTATAAATTATAAATTATAAATTATAAATTATAAATTATAAATTATAAATTATAAATTATAAATTATAAATTATAAATTATAAATTATAAATTATAAATTATAAATTATAAATTATAAATTATAAATTATAAATTATAAATTATAAATTATAAATTATAAATTATAAATTATAAATTATAAATTATAAATTATAAATTATAAATTATAAATTATAAATTATAAATTATAAATTATAAATTATAAATTATAAATTATAAATTATAAATTATAAATTATAAATTATAAATTATAAATTATAAATTATAAATTATAAATTATAAATTATAAATTATAAATTATAAATTATAAATTATAAATTATAAATTATAAATTATAAATTATAAATTATAAATTATAAATTATAAATTATAAATTATAAATTATAAATTATAAATTATAAATTATAAATTATAAATTATAAATTATAAATTATAAATTATAAATTATAAATTATAAATTATAAATTATAAATTATAAATTATAAATTATAAATTATAAATTATAAATTATAAATTATAAATTATAAATTATAAATTATAAATTATAAATTATAAATTATAAATTATAAATTATAAATTATAAATTATAAATTATAAATTATAAATTATAAATTATAAATTATAAATTATAAATTATAAATTATAAATTATAAATTATAAATTATAAATTATAAATTATAAATTATAAATTATAAATTATAAATTATAAATTATAAATTATAAATTATAAATTATAAATTATAAATTATAAATTATAAATTATAAATTATAAATTATAAATTATAAATTATAAATTATAAATTATAAATTATAAATTATAAATTATAAATTATAAATTATAAATTATAAATTATAAATTATAAATTATAAATTATAAATTATAAATTATAAATTATAAATTATAAATTATAAATTATAAATTATAAATTATAAATTATAAATTATAAATTATAAATTATAAATTATAAATTATAAATTATAAATTATAAATTATAAATTATAAATTATAAATTATAAATTATAAATTATAAATTATAAATTATAAATTATAAATTATAAATTATAAATTATAAATTATAAATTATAAATTATAAATTATAAATTATAAATTATAAATTATAAATTATAAATTATAAATTATAAATTATAAATTATAAATTATAAATTATAAATTATAAATTATAAATTATAAATTATAAATTATAAATTATAAATTATAAATTATAAATTATAAATTATAAATTATAAATTATAAATTATAAATTATAAATTATAAATTATAAATTATAAATTATAAATTATAAATTATAAATTATAAATTATAAATTATAAATTATAAATTATAAATTATAAATTATAAATTATAAATTATAAATTATAAATTATAAATTATAAATTATAAATTATAAATTATAAATTATAAATTATAAATTATAAATTATAAATTATAAATTATAAATTATAAATTATAAATTATAAATTATAAATTATAAATTATAAATTATAAATTATAAATTATAAATTATAAATTATAAATTATAAATTATAAATTATAAATTATAAATTATAAATTATAAATTATAAATTATAAATTATAAATTATAAATTATAAATTATAAATTATAAATTATAAATTATAAATTATAAATTATAAATTATAAATTATAAATTATAAATTATAAATTATAAATTATAAATTATAAATTATAAATTATAAATTATAGTATATTATAAATGTATATTAAAACCATTTCACCCTGTTCGGATCTATGTCCATTATCGTACATATATGCTGAAAAGTATATATCTGCAGAAATCAAACTTGCACACATATGAATTCTGTTGTTTACTCTTATAAATGCAAAGTATCTGGTATATGTATTAAATGAATACAAAATAGCGAGGTGGTATATATCTAGCAGTATTATCCGCTCAACGTTTAAGTTCGAAAATTAAGTGTGGAACTATAGTAAAAACCATACTATTTTTCACTAACTGCTGTTTAAAGAGTTTGACAGATAAATAAGTTATAAAATAAAATAAATAATTGAATCTAAGTTTTTAGATTTTCCGCTCACTGTCTTAGAGAGGCAGCAAAACGTAGATCCGAATTCGTGGAACCTTACATTAATTGCATCATTAATTGGTATTATTTTGCGAAAGCATGCGTACAACAGGCCCTCTTTTCACATTTGCTAGTCAGATCCAAGATCAAGGTCTTTTTAATACTCTTAATAGTTTTTTGACTGTTAAAAAAATGTTTTCCTACTGGAGCAAAAAGAGTATTCCAAGCAAAGTTGAAGAAAAAAGAAATGAAACATTTGTGTCTATAAACGAAAGTATTTCACAAACAGAAATAAAAATGGATAAGGAAAAGATGGCACTATCGACTACAGATAGGCACGTCCTTGAATTTCATGATTTCCTGAGGCGTGTTCAGACGTTACAAATGTCCCATATTGAGGCTAACAAAAACCAAGATTTAATAGTTAATCGACCCAATATGTGCAGCTCGACAGCAGTTGAGGTCGGCGAGGAACCTGCGACCTCATCGGAAGCTGATAATATAGATATGGAATATCCTCACCTCACAAGTGAATGTGAATATATGCCAGTGGCTACTACCAATATTCGGGTAACAGTTGGTATTGACAAAGATTTAGAGATGATTCTTGAAATGGATCCGAGTATTGTTGATTTAGGTGATATTAGCATTGCCGAAACTGCAGAGCCGCGTATAGTGGGTTTACCTCCACTTTCGGGTGGGTAGGTATATTGACCTTTTTTTTTATCATAGAACTATTTCTCACTTGTGTAAAATGGTTGAAGAAATTTGATCATTAAAAATTTGTTATTAACAGACCGACATTCAAAACTGCCACTCCTACTTCACGGACGCAACTGAAACTTCAGTTACAACGGGAACAACATCAACAACAACAAATGATGATACAGCAACAGACACTAGATTCGCCGGACCCAAAAATTCACCTATTATTTGGCGGTGGACAGGGATCCACGGAGTCTGAATTCATCGACAGCGGTAGTACCAGTGCTTGTGGAAGTGGATCATCTAGCTTAGAACAAATGTCGCAACTGGTGCAAATGGATAATTTAATTGATTCGTCAACTGCAGCTAAACTTAAAGTTCCTCTTCAAAGTATTGGCGTAGATGTGCCACCCCAAGTGCTGCAGGTAATTAATATTTTATAGTTTCAACAAAATATTGTACAAAAATAAATTACAGGTCAGTACAGTTCTTGAAAACCCGACCAGGTATCACGTTATTCAAAAGCAAAAAAATCAAGTGAGACAATATCTCAGCGAATCCCTAAAGCCATCTATATGGGGCTGTCATAACAGCGATGTAAGTCCTTATAACCATTTGGCAGGATGCTATTAATATATATTTTTCAAACCACAGATGAAACTGGCAAATAACTCTGCGTCGACCGGTAACCTTCAGAGTTCATCCTTAGAGAAAGGTGTCAGCCTTCCGTTGGAGCGTACAAATAGTTTTGGGTGTGACACGGCTGTTACTGCCAAAAGACCAAATCATTCCGACGACTCGATGCCGATTTCCTTCTTTGGTGGCAATTTTCCAAGAAGTGATAACTTAAATTCCAACGATCCAAGTTTACTGGGACGTATTAACCATGTTTCTGCAGAATCAGCAAGTGCTCAAAAAAACATCCATTTGGGATTTGTTAAAACTAATTCAAATCTTAGTTCTTCTACTACGCGTACATCTTCGGGAATGATTAACTCAATAAGGCTTTCTAGTACAGCAAGCTCTTCGCAGTCTACTTCAGCACCGATTTCGCCAAGTTTGAGTTCGGTTGCAACAAGTGCTTCGGAGGTCAGTATACACATTATGTTCACAACTGTTTTAAATTAAGTAGGGCCTTTTTATTGATTGTACTGCAAAGTGCTCTTTACATGGTCTATTTTCGTTTATCGTTAGTCGTTACTTATGACGTTAAGAATAGAACTTGACAAATGACATGAACTTAAAAAAGAAAATAAGCTAGCTTCGGCAAGCTACTTTTAGCTATTACAAAAATTAAATGTTCTTTAAAGCAATAAATTTAAAAATTTTAAAGTGTGTGAGTAAAAGCAATGAAGCTGTGGCGGTTTTCCGCTGAATTTTTCGATTTTTTATACTTCGACTATAAATATATCATAACATGCCATAGGAACAATCGAATAATTCAGTGAAAATAATCATGTCTCACTGTTTTTAAGTATAAGCGCATAATATATATATATATATATATAATATAATATAATAATAATAATATAATATATTTCGGCAGTTTTAAGTTTGTTTTCTTTCTAGTTTATTGAATAAAACAGCAGATTAGGTTAGAGAACCAAGGAAATTATTGGTTTTGCGTCAAATCCCTTTTACACAAAGAAAGGTATGCTTCCAAGTAAATTATAGCCGTAGATGATGAAAATTCGCTCAAAATGCAAAAAATCTAAAGCAATATAGTTGTCTCTATCTGAGCCTTAATAATTTATTTCATGAATGTGCTATGTAGTGTTATAAACCTTATTAGCCCAGGCAGAATATTACACTTATATGGCAGCTGTAGAATACGGTCAATTGAGTTTTATCAAACTTAAAGGCTACGTTTGAAATAATACACCAAAAAAAATGCTATTGTCAAATGTGTTTTTTTTTTGCAACAGCGACCAAATTCTGGAACAACACTTTGTTATTTTATATGATTGCGCTAGAATAAGTCGGGAAAAGTACCACACTTCGCTGTTGCCAATAGTGCGCTACACATGTCCCAAACTACCATTTGAAATTAATGTTTTTAAAGTTTTTTTATGATGTTAACTTGAAATTCTTAAAAATTTTTTAGCGGAAAAATTCACATACCAAATAAGCCAAAAATCAGTGATTTTTCGGAAATGTTTAAAAAAACAGTGCAATTGTTCCTATGACAAGATTTTTAAACATGATCAGTGTAAACATATAAATATACGAATTGATACGATCTGCGCAAATAATTGGCTTAGAACGGTATGGTTAGTGTGACAGTTACGTTGCGGTCAAAATAATAGCACCGACAAATGATCAGACAGTTTTTTCTAAATTGTGTTTATGTAATGCACTTTCATTAACCTTTTTTAATGAAATACAATTATTTTAGATTTTGTATTTTGCTAAGACATAATCCCAACATTAAACATAAAGGTTCATTACTACACCACATATGATTATTTTCAGAAAGTTTTGGTGTAGTTGAGATAGAGATAGAGACATGTCAGTGTTAAACACGTTAAGATACAATTTTGCATTCCTTGTAGATTTTATTTAGATTAAAGATAAAAATCTTTCTAAAAAATTGAGTTATTCAGCTAAATTCGTTTTTAAAGAGAAAAGTTTGGCTTGTAGCCCATTGAAGTTTGTTGAAATGCTGAATCTGATCTGCAGCAAGTGTTGTCAGCACACTCGATAGGGACTCTGCGAAGAATATTTAATTTTTGCAATAGCTGTAAGGGTATATGAACTTCGGCTTGCCGAAGTTGGCTTCCTTTCTTGTTTTTATTTATTTTTCCGATTGTTCCTCTGGGAGCTGTATGATATAGTCTACAGTTAAATGGCTCTAAAAAATTAAACAACGGTGTCAAGGTATCGCGTGGAAATTTAGCTTATATCAGGAGTTACATTGCAGGGAACAGGAATCTCAAAATGTTATCTGACAAATAAAAGAAGAGTCTCTCATAACTGTTATTTTTAAGTGAACCAATGGTTCATAACATTCTAAAGCCTACTCTTCTGAAGAATTTGTAGTTGCTTTTTCTTATTTTGCCTGCTATGAGAATCGTTTTGTTATGAAAAAGCAATACAAAACACTATTGACACTTATCAGAAAATATTTAGTAACTCTGTTTTGATACATATAGTCTCGCAGGCTCTGTTTTCAAAGTTCCATGCGTCATTAGTCGTTAATAATATTTCAAAGTAATAACTACATTTTATTTCTATTTACAGCTACCATCATTCGACAGCGATGTAAGTATTTTGGAGGTCACTGAAAATATGATCAGACTTAAAATCAACAACAACTGTTTTGTTTTGTTAGATAGATTTTGACTAAATAATATGTTCTCTAAAACTTATATTACAACTGATATTATTTGGAATTACAATATGAACAAGAAAGGAAGCAAACTTCGGCAAGCCTTGCAGCTATTTCAAAAATTTAATATTCTCGAAAGCATTAAAATTATGATTTATTTGCGAATATGTTTAAAAATTTTGAAGCCATTATGGTTTTCAGCTCAATTATTCGATCGTTCCTATGGCAGCTATACGATATCGTTTTTCGATTTGAACAAAAATAAAAGCGTATTTCTGAACTATCAAATTTTTAATAAGTCAAAAAGAATTTTTTGTTCTCATGGGAGCTTTATGATATAGTCGTCCGATTTTGATTTTGAAATAATTAACAATTACTATATGTTGAAGAACGAATAAAAAATTATACAAGAAAAAAAGCAAAGCCTATTAGTCTTCCTATAGTATTTGAGTCGGAACGAGCAGAATCGGACGACTATGTCATATAGCTTTCATGGAAACAATCAGAAAAAAAAATGAAAAAAAAAAATTTTTTTTCATACATTTTTTTTTATAATTCTTCGAAATTTAGTGATGGTTTATTAATTGGGATTACGGTTTAAGTTTGATCAAAATCGGACGAATATATCTTATAGCTCCCATGAGAACAGCCGGAATGTTACAAAACAAAAACTAAAAAAAATTGTAACTTCTCTAATTTTAAATGCTTTTATGTGATTGTTTTGGACATAGGAATGGTTTCATAGGAACGATCAAATTGTTAAAGTGAAAATCATCATGTCTTCACTGGTTTTTAATAGGTACTTATATAATTCGAAATGTAGATGTTTAATTTTTGCAATAGCTGCAAGTTTGCTTCCTTTCTTGTTTGTTGATTCAATTGGTTTTTGAATATAAAATATTAATCAAATGCATTTTAAATGCAAAATATCAGAATTTTGTGAGCTCACTTAATTAACAATCCAAGAAATAATTTATAATTAGACCTTTTTAAATATAATGGTATAGTTTCTGCGCATTAAAAAAAAAGCTGTTTAAAACATCTTAGCAATTAAAAGTCGAGTTTTCAGTCGTTATCGAAGTTAACGCAATAACGCAAAATTAACGCTTGCACTATGTAAACTTTGCGTTCGGCTATAGAACATTTGCGATTTGCAAGTTAAAGCTCACAAAATCTGGGAAAGCAATGCAATTCATCACGCTTCGTATTCAATAAACCAAGATGACATTTTTTGTTTCTTTTGCAAATAAAATAGGCTTTTCATATAGACTTACTTTTTACACGGAATTCTGGCCTATATTAGGGTTCGAACTTCAAACACCGAACACCGATCCAAACCAAACATTGAGTTGTCTGGCCTCACAGTCCTGGTTATGCCAATGTGTTTAAATGTAAGATTCCTTTAAATATTATTTGTAAGTTTGTATTATTTATTTTTAGCCAGACGATCTTTTTGATGATATACTGCAAAATGATTCTTTTAACTTCGATACAAACTTTAACTCGGAGCTTTCAATTAAGCAGGAGCCTCAAAATTTAACTGACGCTGAAATAAATGCCCTAGCAAAAGACAGGCAAAAGAAGGATAACCATAATATGAGTAAGTTTTTAATATTCCAATTTTGTTTTTTAGGAATGAGTTACCGTTAAACATTGCTTTATTTTTAGTTGAGCGCAGGCGACGGTTTAATATTAATGACAGAATCAAAGAGCTTGGCACTCTTTTGCCAAAGGGTAGTGATGCCTTTTACGAAGTTGTTCGAGATATTCGTCCAAACAAAGGGACAATTTTGAAGTCTTCTGTTGACTACATAAAATGCTTGAAACATGAGGTGTCTCGTTTAAGACAAAATGAGTGTCGTCAACGTCAAATGGAGTTGCAAAATCGAAAACTCATGTCCCGAATAAGGGTAAAGTAAAAGCTCGACAAAAAAAATTCTGTAACTTTACTATAATTTTTCAAGGAGTTGGAAATGCAAGCGAAGTCTCACGGAATATCTTTATCAGACTACCATTTAACATCAGTGTCGGCGCCGACTCAAGCTGACGCTTATCTTAAAAGTTCAAGTCTGTCGCCATCTGTTTCTCGAAGTCGTCGATCACTTTTTGACCTACCCGTCGAGAAAAAAGTAAGCTTTAAAATATATATATAAATATTGTTTATACTAATTATGTATTTTATTTATGAAGATACAAGTTATAAACAGTAGTGATGTTAATATGGGAATGAATCAGATCGATGAACTCATGGAGGATTGTAAGCACCCAGTACAAGGCGGGGACCCGATGTTGTCTTCCCATAGTCACATGCATTCTGCACCACAATCACCTACCGCAAATCAATTGAATTGTGCAAGCTATGAACCAAAGAAAGTCTCGGAAGTTGATGCAGGCATATTTAGGGGAAAGTCTAACTTAGTAGCAGATGAATGTTGCAGCATCAATTGTACTACTTCTTGTTATAGTCAGCATCAGTTGCCAACACACGAAAGTCATCAAAATCATTGTCACCAACCCAGTATACGAGATATCCACAGTTTATCGGATTCAGTTCAAAGCTCGGAGTTTAGTAGGCTTGAACATTGCGATGGCAACCATGATCCACTACTGTCATCTTCTAGGTCACTTGGCACAGTAGACGAAGATCATCATAGTTCTGTTGATATATCTACTGTCATGATAAACGACTCACTTTCCTCATTGGTAGATGACACCCACAGTGAACCCATGATTCTTACTTCTGACACGTTAGATATTGATTTATAGGCAAACAAAATATTTAGGAACACTTAGTTTTTATTTGAAATTCGTTGAGGTAGCAGGCTTTAAGTTAAATTCTGATAGTTCAATCCAATCAAGTGTCTTAAAATTTAAAAAATGGAGTCCCTGAAAGGTCGATAGCATGCAATTTTAGAACGAAAGCCTCAACAAACTATTCAAAACGGTATTTTACACAATTTATAAAATTTGATAAGTAAATATGTTTTTAAAAAATGTATAATTGTTACCTTACCTTACATGTTATTTATAGTCGGTCTAACCGACAAAAACTATTATATATTTGTTACTTTAGTTGTAATAATAGAAACTTGTGGACTGTGAGGAAAAAAAATAAATATAAAAATACTTAGTGTTGGCATACGTTTTTTATACCCTTGCAGAGGGTATTATAATTTCAGTCAGAAGTTTGCAACGCAGTGAAGGAGACGTTTTCGACCCTATAAAGTATATATATTCTTGATCAGCATCACTAGTAGAGTCGGTCTAGCCATGTCCGTCTGTCCGTCCGTCTGTCCGTCCGTCTGTCCGTCTGTCCGTCCGTTTATATGCAAACTAGTCTCTCAGTTTTAAAGCTATCTGCATGAAACTTTCCCAAAAGTTGTCTTTCTATTGCAGGTAGTATATAAGTCGGAACGAGCCGGATCGGACGACTATAGCATATAGCTCCCATAGGAACAATCGGAAAAATAATTGAAAAAAATTATAACTTTGCTGTTTTTTAATTTTTTGTTTAGTTCTTCGACATATAGCAATGGTTAAATATTTCAGAATTATGGTTTAACTTTCATCAAAATCGGACGACAATAGAATATAGCTCCCATAGGAACAATCGGAAAAATAATTGAAAAAAAATTATAACTTTGCTGTTTTTTAATATTTTGTTTTGTTCTTCGACATAAAGCAATGGTTAAATATTTCAGAAATATGGTTAAAATTTCATCAAAATCGGACGACTATAGCATATAGCTCCCATAGGAACAATCGGAAAAATAATTGAAACAAAATTGTAACTTTGCTGTTTTTTAATTTTTTGTTTAGTTCTTCGACATATAGCAATGGTTAAATATTTCAGAATTATGGTTTAACTTTCATCAAAATCGGACGACAATAGAATATAGCTCCCATAGGAACAATCGGAAAAATAATTGAAAAAAAATTATAACTTTGCTGTTTTTTAATATTTTGTTTTGTTCTTCGACATAAAGCAATGGTTAAATATTTCAGAAATATGGTTAAAATTTCATCAAAAGCGGACGACTATAGCATATAGCTCCCATAGGAACAATCGGAAAAATAATTGAAAAAAAATTATAACTTTGCTGTTTTTATACCCTTGCAGAGGGTATTATAATTTCAGTCAGAAGTTTGCAACGCAGTGAAGGAGACATCTCCGACCCTATAAAGTATATATATTCTTGATCAGCATCACTAGGCGAGTCGATCTAGCCATGTCCGTCTGTCCGTCCGTTTATATGCAAACTAGTCTCTCAGTTTTAAAGCTATCTGCATGAAACTTTCCCAAAAGTTGTCTTTCTATTGCAGGTAGTATATAAGTCGGAACGAGCCGGATCGGACGACTATAGCATATAGCTCCCATAGGAACAATCGGAAAAATAAATGAAAAAAATTATAACTTTGCTGTTTTTAAATTTTTTGTTTAGTTCTTCGACATATAGCAATGGTTATATATTTCAGAATTATGGTTTAAATTTCATCAAAATCGGACGACTATAGCATATAGCCCCCATAGGAACAATCGGAAAAATAATTGGAAAAAATTATAACTTTGCTGTTTTTTAATTTTTTGTTTTGTTCTTCGACATAAAGCAATGGTTAAATATTTCAAAATTATGGTAAAAATTTCATCAAAATCGGACGACTATAGCATATAGCTCCCATAGGAACAATCGGAAAAATAAATAGTGTTGGCATACGTTTTTTATACCCTTGCAGAGGGTATTATAATTTCAGTCAGAAGTTTGCAACGCAGTGAAGGAGACGTTTTCGACCCTATAAAGTATATATATTCTTGATCAGCATCACTAGTAGAGTCGGTCTAGCCATGTCCGTCTGTCCGTCCGTCTGTCCGTCTGTCCGTCCGTTTATATGCAAACTAGTCTCTCAGTTTTAAAGCTATCTGCATGAAACTTTCCCAAAAGTTGTCTTTCTATTGCAGGTAGTATATAAGTCGGAACGAGCCGGATCGGACGACTATAGCATATAGCTCCCATAGGAACAATCGGAAAAATAATTGAAAAAAATTATAACTTTGCTGTTTTTTAATTTTTTGTTTAGTTCTTCGACATATAGCAATGGTTAAATATTTCAGAATTATGGTTTAACTTTCATCAAAATCGGACGACAATAGAATATAGCTCCCATAGGAACAATCGGAAAAATAATTGAAAAAAATTATAACTTTGCTGTTTTTTAATATTTTGTTTTGTTCTTCGACATAAAGCAATGGTTAAATATTTCAGAAATATGGTTAAAATTTCATCAAAAGCGGACGACTATAGCATATAGCTCCCATAGGAACAATCGGAAAAATAATTGAAAAAAAATTATAACTTTGCTGTTTTTATACCCTTGCAGAGGGTATTATAATTTCAGTCAGAAGTTTGCAACGCAGTGAAGGAGACATCTCCGACCCTATAAAGTATATATATTCTTGATCAGCATCACTAGGCGAGTCGATCTAGCCATGTCCGTCTGTCCGTCCGTTTATATGCAAACTAGTCTCTCAGTTTTAAAGCTATCTGCATGAAACTTTCCCAAAAGTTGTCTTTCTATTGCAGGTAGTATATAAGTCGGAACGAGCCGGATCGGACGACTATAGCATATAGCTCCCATAGGAACAATCGGAAAAATAAATGAAAAAAATTATAACTTTGCTGTTTTTAAATTTTTTGTTTAGTTCTTCGACATATAGCAATGGTTATATATTTCAGAATTATGGTTTAAATTTCATCAAAATCGGACGACTATAGCATATAGCCCCCATAGGAACAATCGGAAAAATAATTGAAAAAAAATTATAACTTTGCTGTTTTTTAATTTTTTGTTTTGTTCTTCGACATAAAGCAATGGTTAAATATTTCAGAATTATGGTAAAAATTTCATCAAAATCGGACGACTATAGCATATAGCTCCCATAGGAACAATCGGAAAAATAAATGAAAAAAAATTATAACTTTTCTGTTTTTTAATTTTTTGTTTAGTTCTTCGACATTTAGTAATGGTTAAATATTTTCGATTTACGGTTTAAATTTCATCAAAGTCGGACGACTATATCATATAGCTCCCATAGGAACAATCGGAGAAATAAATGAAAAAAAATTATAACTTTTCTGTTTTTTAATTTTTTGTTTAGTTCTTCGACATTTAGTAATGGTTAAATATTTCCAATTTACGGTTTAAGCTTCATCAAAGTCGGACGACTATATCATATAGCTCCCATAGGAACAATAAGAATATATAAAATAACTATCAAATAATTGAGCTGCAAATCATCATAGCTTCAATGTTTTTAAACGTATACGCAAGTAAATTATATTTTTAATGTTTTCAAAAATGTTTAATTCTTGCAATAGCTGCAGGGGTATATGAACTTCGGCTTGCCGAAGTTTGCTTTCTTTCTTGTTTAATTTTATTTTAGTTCTTCGACATATAGCAATGGTTAAATATTTCAGAATTATGGTTTAAATTTCATCAAAATCGGACGACTATATCATATAGCTCCCACACAAATAATAAAAATATATAAAAGAACAATCAAATAATTAAGCTGCAAATCGTCATAGCTTCAATGTTTTTAAACATATACGCAAGTAAATCATAATTTTAATGTTTTCAAAAATATTTAATTCTTGCGATAGCTGAAGGGTATATGAACTTCGGCTTGCCGAAGTTTGCTTTCTTTCTTGTTTTCTATAACATTTTGAAAAGTAAAAGGTCTCTTACCTACTTCTTGGCAATTTTATACTCTTGCAGAGGGTACAATAATTTCAGTCAGAAGTTTGCAAAGCAGTGAAGGCGACATTTCCGACCATATGATGTATATATATTCTTGATGAGCATCGAGAGTCAATCTATGGTGTCCGTTTGTCCGCCTGAGTTGTAAAGCTATCTGCGTAAAACTTTCCCAAAAAATGTTTTACTGTTGCATGTAATATAAAAGTCAGAATGAGCGGGATCTGACGAAGTATGATATATGATGTAGCTCCCATAGGAACAATTGAAAAAAAAATATTACCTATGGTAAGATATTTCAAAATTACGGATTTAATTTTATTATAATAAGACTAATATATCATATTGCTTTCATTGATACTATCATACAAATAAAAACAAAATAAATGAAACAAATTGGTACTTCGCTGTTTTTCAATTGACATGAATTTTTTTTATATATATTAAATGGTTTATTTTTGAATTACGATTTTAATGTAATTAACTATATCGTGTAGCTGTAATTGGAACGATCGAAAAATGCACCGGAAAATCAACTTAACTTCACTGCTTTATAGGCATACAATTTGGAACAAAGTAGTCATGCAGAATATTTAAAATTTTGCTTGCCGAAGCTTCCTTTCTGGTTTTTATAATATTTGCTAGCTGCCAATTAGGCGCTAGTTAGTAAATAGATGTTGTCCCGCTTTTAATACCCCTTACTCGTAGAATAAAAGGGTATATTGTATTAGTTTACAAGTAAATAACAGGTAGAAGGAAGCGACCATATAAAGTATATACATTCTTTATATTCAATAGCCGAGTCGATCTAGCCATGTCCGTCTGTCTGTCCGTCTGTATTTTACAAAAAAATAAGTTTTTCTTTAACTTGAGTAATCATTTATCTCAGCTGTTGCTTCAAAATTCAACTTTTCGAAACTTAAGCACTATAATAACCTCTAAAAACTGAAAATGAGAGTTATAGGGTATTTCTACAGAGATCCATCCATGATAGAAGATCCGTTGAAGGGATGGTCCATAAGGTTTTACCGTTCAAAAAACTTCCCAGTTAGTCTGCCGTTAAAATTTGACGGACTAAATTATGCGATAGTCACCCGATGCTCCTATGGTGCAACCCTCTTTCCATCCCTGAAAAAACCGTTGGGATATTTGAAAAAATCTAAACTCCTGTTTCCACAGAGCACATCCACCTTACACCTTCCGATTTCAGCTGATCTTAACAGCTGTAGCTCATCGAAACATAAACAAAGATTTTTGACCTGTTGACTTTGCTCATCATCACTACGTGGACGGTCGCCCACAGTGATAATTGTCAATTTTAAACAAAGAAGATGATATCGGCCTAATGGGCGCCCTCATAATTGATTGCCATCGTTTTATGGAATTTTTTATCACTTCGTCGAGAAGGCTTGTTCACGTAAACACTGGACTTAAAAAACCCCCCAAAAAACGGTCTGGACCGGTTATATCGGTCGAGTTTGTTGGCCAGTGCAAATCGCCAGCCGCTTAAAAGAGTTGTAGCGAAACAGTTGAAGCGAACCATTCACACAGAAACCCGCTGATGTAAAAACAGCTCATAGGCCTACCACATGTAAGCACACCTAAAAAAAAGAAGAAGAGAACGCAAAATTCAATGTTTCCGCCATTAAACTGGATATTAACGCTAAACTAAATACAATTTTAACATTCGCAAGTGGAAAGTTTTTATTCTGCTAATGACTTATCAACGATTCAGGCTGGATGTTATTTTTACAAAAGGGGCGCACGCGAATTTATCCCGGCTGGGGCTCGTCGGCTATTGAAGTGGGAATTTTGCCGCTTCCCTAATAGTGCCTTTTACTGATTTTACGTGCTGCCACAAGAAATAGAATTGCATGTGGGAATCTGGATGTACACTCTAAAAAAAAGCCTTTCTCCACGCACGTTCCGAGATCTGCTGTGGCCTCTGATGTCATGTTGCCCTCATCTAATACCGCGTCGCTAAATTTTGAATGACCCCTTTAACATAAGCTCACTGGGGCGGCATGCTGGTGGAGGCAATTAAAAGGGAATGATTTAAAACATTCTAAAATGTATTCTTAAAAACTAGATATTTTGCTTAAACATATTGACATAATAAAATAATATAAAAACAGGGTTGAGTACAAATATAAAAGCATGTTAAATTTCCGATTAAGTAAACGGAGCGCAAAGTAATCATTTAAATTTACGCCAACCCGAAAACTAAGTAACGTGAGGTGGGTGAGTAAGGATTGCAAGCGCGAACTAGATAAATCAACAATATCTTTTGTGGTATTAACAAATTATTAGATTTTGGCAATAATATAAAGGAAATCTCTTATTAATTTTCATTTTTATATGCATTTCGTTTATCTTTCCATCGAAATTTGCCGTTCTCTTCTTTCTTTTTCTTTACTTTTTCGTGCCTAGCAATGCACTGTGGGACGATCTCGCAGAAACAAATTGATTTTTAGCCTTCTCACTGGGTTCCTTCTTCTTCACCTGGTTTAGGGTCATCCGTCTAAATTTAATAGGCCTCTCTGGCAGACTCCGGATGCAGCTTGCAGACCACCAGCGTGATTACAAAAATTGGCTTTTACTTAGCGTCAAGCCTAAATGCACAAAAACCACTTTTAACCTGAATATGGCGGTTCCAATGGTAGTTTGACGGCATCGGTCCGAATAAATATATGAGAGCATTTGTCTATTTGCGTATTGTTGTTCTATATAGCATATTCGCAGCCGATGATTTAAGGTCCTCTTTTAAACAGGTACGAAGTCCAAGCAGAGTGATGGGTAGCAGTTCCGGCCAAGGGGTGTTTGAATGGCACATCATCGCAGTCTTAAATGATCTGTGCCATCTTTCGAGCATTCCGTTGGACTTCCGTTGGCAGGTGAAAATCAGTCGTGTGAATGTGTTCGCTGCCCATGAGGTGGGCCAGCTCCTTGAACAGCGCTGATTTTAACTGAGTGCCTTGGTCAGTTGTTATTGTTTTAAGTGTTCCAAAACGCGCAACCCATTGTGACCAAAAAGACATATCAGCCGATATGTTTGTAAGAGGGACATCCTCCGGCCAGCGAGTAAATCGGTCTATAATGGTAAGGCAGTACCGAAAGTTTTGATGGAACGGGAACTGTGATCTTTTCTGGAGTCAGATGATAATGCCTGCTTATCTTGGCACGTTGACAAGAAAGACAAGTTCTGCATCACTTAATGACGTTTTTCCTCATTGCCGGCCATACAAATTTTTGCTTAATTTGTTGTTTCGGCTGTGAAAGAAAGAGAATATTTTATTTTTATAAAGACGAACGTTATTTGACGATGTGTCACAGTAAAGTGCGACATTGCCATCGTAGCATATTTTTTTCAGCTGAAGCAAAGAAGTTCCTTGCAGTAAGCTCGGGAGCTCTGTATCGGCTGCCTGTGCTTCCTCGATTTGCTTTAGGTTGACAGAGACTGACATGGTAATAGCACATAGCTTGGAAAATGTACCTCCTATTGAAGAAAAAAAAGTGCTGAAGTGGAATTCGTTCGCTGAAGGAAAAAATCCGCCTATCTGAATAGGCTATGTAGCGCATAGTGGGTTTTTGATGCCCCAAAAGACATAGTTTTGCTGGTTCAAGTACCCGCAGAGGTGGAAATTAGCCATCGCTCACTATAATTTTGGTCGAAAAAATAGCCATTTTGTCAGTTGTGACGGCGCCTATTTGACCGATATCATCTTCTCGATTTGACCAATAAATTAGTTCAAATAAACATAATCAAAAAAGGGAATAGAAATTTTTTATTAAGAAAAAAAAAATAGTGCCAAAAAATACGGATGACTTCTTTGGCCAACCTTGTATAACGATAACAAAGATTTCTCCAACGGGCCCATATCAGGTGTTAAATTTACACATGAATTGTAAATCATGTAGTACAAGTTTCTGTCTGATTTAGTCTTTGTTAACAGTTTTCTCTGACAAGTTAAATATGTAAGTCTCAAAAAGGTGAAACTTTCAAAGAAATATATTAGTTCTCAAAGTAATTGCATTTTTTTTGTACATTATTTGTACAAATGAGTGAATAAAAGATTATTTCAAAGACAAAAAGAATTCATCAATATAAATTTCCCTGCATACCTATCAAAATTTGATAGATTTGACTTTATATTTAAAAAAAAAAGGAACTGCAGCAAGGCATGAAATAATTGTTTCACGATTATTTTTGGTTATAAATTTCTGGGACGCTACTAAATATGTCCTTAATGAATAATAATGATCAATACCGATAATACCTTAATAAAATTCGAATAGGTTCTATAAGGCTTTTTACAATATTTAAAACAATTTTACATACATGTACAAGTTTATTTATGGTCTAGTTTTCAGCATAGGACAATACGAATTCTTATGTTACAATTTAAAGAATATTTTTGAATTATTTTTTAGCCAACTCAGCTGAAAGCCAGTCAAGTCCTTCATATAGTCCGTGACCCTGGGTAGCACAAGTAGCTTGAATAAACCACTAAAAAATAAATTTAAATAAATACTTGAAATATACAAATTAGAATTCATTTATACATGGCGATTCCTTAATTGGTTAAGGTGCAACTTGTCTGTAAGCTCTGCAGCTGTCATTGCGTTTGGTAAGTCCTGTTTGTTAGCAAAAACCAATAGCACAGCATCTCTGAGCTCGTCTTCCTGAAGCTAGGGCGAAAGAAAAATTGTATTGATGGACGAGCACATTAGAAAAAAAAAATACCATGTTTTGAAGTTCTTTTTCAGCTTCATTGATACGATCACGATCGTTAGAATCCACAACAAAAATCAGACCTTGCGTATTCTGGAAATAGTGGCGCCACAACGGACGAATTTTATCTTGGCCACCAACGTCCCAAACAGTAAAACATATATTTTTATACTCCACAGTTTCGACGTTGAAACCGATAGTTGGGATGGTGGTTACAATTTCTCCCAACTTAAGTTTATATAGTATAGTCGTTTTTCCGGCGGCATCCAGTCCAACTGTGTATAACAATATTTTATTAATGTTCACGCTGTTTGCAAATATTATATGGTATAAGCGTGAGTTATAACCAATAAACAATTATTTACATGACTGTTTATGTCTAAAGCGTTATTATCATATTTTGACGACATACCCATTAAAATACGCATTTGTTTTTTTCCGAACAGACGTGTCAGAAGACTTGATATTGTTAATCCCATTTTTTTTATAAAGTTCTATATTTTGTACGGTCCTTATCTTTGAGTAAATTGACGTGTAAACTAGTCATTCGTTTAGTGAGGCCGAGTACTGGAAAAATCCACGAAATTTTTAAAGAAACGCAATAAAAATAAAATACTGTCAAAAGTATATTTAGTAAATAAATATTATGTGTGTCAAAGTAGCGTCAGTGATTTAGTGGCGATTTTGGAACGGAGCGAAATGTGTGTTTTTAATTATTTTTCCACCTATGACACATTTCCACAGAGCCCATCCACGCAAAACGATTGAACTTTTTGATTGATGGTAAACTGGTGTTCCCACAGAGCCACCATCCGTCAAAAGTAATAATTCCGTTATGTTTTTTCTCGCAGAGATCCATCAACTTACCGTTGAACGGATGGTTTATCAGGTCCGTGGTGAAAATTTTAGTAATATCGTTTTTCCACAGAGATCCATCCACCTACCACCATTTGTTGAAGGGATGGTCCAAAAGTAATTTATGCGATAGTAAGCTGATGTTTCTGTGGTGAACCCTCTTTCCACGCAGTCCATCCCTGAAATAACCGTTAGGATTTGAACCGTTGAAGTGAAACTCCTGATTCCACAGAGCACATCCACACTTCTATAACAGCTGATCTGAACGCTGAGGCTCATCAAAACATATACAAAGATTGTTGAGCTGTAGACTTTGTTTATGTTTCGATGAGCCACAGCTGTTCAAATCAGATGTTATCGGATTTAAAATGTTTTAAATTATCTATCTTGCATTTATTATAATAATTTCAAAAGGATATTGGTTAACAGTTACCTGTGGCAACTCAGGGACTACGTCGGCGAGTTTCGGCTTACGCCTGAACCGTCAGGTAGATACTGGGCAGGCGTTCGGCAATTCTGGCCGGGACAGAGTAAGGAACAGGAGGCTGCGGCTGCGAAAGGCATACCTTGAGAGCACAGTGCCTCTTCACCCTGATAGCCATCAAGCTATCGAACTATGGGGCCGACGACCACATTCGTTGGCCAAAAAAGGTTGAAATCTATCCTGATGTCCATGCAAGCGGTAAAATAAGTTGTCTTACACGCTTTCTTTATTACAAATCTAACTTTTAACTAGAGTAACAAAGCGAGTCCACTTCTAAAAACTTTTGAAATTTGTAGAGTATTTAATTCTTGTTCAAATGTCTGTCGCCACTTATTGCCACTTTTTAAGATATTTAGTTTTTTAAGACACAACCTCAAGTTTTGCAACTTTGAGTTATTTTTTATATGGAATGAAAAGAAGATGCTATTTTAACTTTCTTAACAACCGCAGCAGCTAATATAACCTTGACAAATAAGAAACGACTTTGGTAACGGTAAGCAGAAAATTTAGCTGCACGCCTATATCAATTATGTAGCAATTACAAAGGAAATTTGAAGTTGTTCCAAAAAGATGATGCAAATTGGTTTGAAACCGTTATAGTATTTCTGAAAACCTTGACATCGGTGGGGGTCCAACATTTACCATTCTAGCAAGAGGAACTTGATCCCGGAGAAGGTAAACTGCAAATTTAGGCGAGTCCACTTCTAAAAACTTTTGAAATTTGTAGAGTATTTAATTCTTGTTCAAATGTCTGTCGCCACTTATTGCCACTTTTTAAGATATTTAGTTTTTTAAGACACAACCTCAAGTTTTGCAACTTTGAGTTATTTTTTATATGGAATGAAAAGAAGATGCTATTTTAACTTTCTTAACAACCGCAGCGGCTAATATAACCTTGACAAATAAGAAACGACTTTGGTAACGGTAAGCAGAAAATTTAGCTGCACGCCTATATCAATTATGTAGCAATTACAAAGGAAATTTGAAGTTATTCCAAAAAGATGATGCAAATTGGTTTGAAACCGTTATAGTATTTCTGAAAACCTTGACATCGGTGGGGGTCCAACATTTACCATTCTAGCAAGAGGAACTTGATCCCGGAGAAGGTAAACTGCAAATTTAGGCATTAACATTTCACACATGTGTGATAAACAACAAAAAACCATTTTAAACTCGATATTATTAAATCAGATTTCTAGGAATATTTTTCGTAATCGCAAGGTCTATTAAATCGGGAAGTTTCTTTGGGTCTACCGGCCAGTTGGTCTGCAAGAAGAAACGTAGTCAAGATTTTACTTGGCTTTTATAATTGCATTATAGAGCTGCTTTCCTTTTAAAGTCACGAGACGAGATCCCCAGTGTGTGTGCTCGGCAATGTAGTCCCCTGCTGCTATAAAGTATTCTCCTAGTGAGTTGAAAAACTGCATAAACTCATCTTCAGCTATAGTGAAGCGAGGTGGGCAGTATACGGCAGCTAGGGTAAGTTGGTTGCCCGAATCTAGTTGTATATTTATAGATATGGCCTTTAGGTAGTTTTAAGCAAATTTGTTATGATAGTGGTGCTTAATACGGCTTCTGATTTGAAATCCAGTCCCACATTGTGCTTTACCATCTGGATGAACCGTCTCGACTGAAAGATAATTTTCCTAATGGCCACTGATCCTGATTTTTTTCTTAAAAAGTAGGTCTTTGTCGCTTTATTCTATTTTCGAGGGTACGTGAATTTGAATTTGTAAGTTTTTGTATTTCTTCCAAGCGCTGAGCCACAAATGTTTTGAACCTGGTATTAAGCCAACATAAAACAATCCCTCATAGGGTATTTCCATAGAGATCCATTCACCTTCCACCACCATCCGTTAAAGGGATGGTCCATAAGGTTTTGGCGTTCCAAAAACTTCCCAGTTAGTCCGCCGTTAAATTTTGACGGACTAATTTATGCGATAGTTAGCAGATGTTACTGCGGTCCAGCCCTTTTTCAACGCAGTCCATTCCCGGAAAACCGTTGGAATTTTCAACAAATTTGAAACTCTGGTTTTCACAGAGCACATCATCCTACCACCTTCCGATTTCAGCTAATCTTAACAGCTGTAAGAATTTAAAAAAAACTTTTAAAATACTTTTTATATCTTTGTAAAAGTAAATGGAACAAATATAAAAATCTGAATTTTTCTTTAAATAATATTTTAATGATAATAATTTTAATTGCACCAATAACAATAAAAAATTGTTTAAAGATCTCAGTGGACTGATTTCTATTAATTCGAATACATATATACCTATATTTAAACATTTTACTGCTACCACTGATTTGAATTTGTAAACAAAAATAAAATGTATTATAACAAATAATATTCATATTTTTATCAAAACCCAATAGTAAATACGCCCCTATATTGGGGACCAAGTTTGAAAAGTAGCAAAAGAAAAAATATTCTTGATGCGCCGAAATGCAATAAAGGCACATATGCTCCCGTGTATGAGAATGCATGATCACACATACATACAAAGACCAATTCAAGCGCAGGGCAACCTTCTCTCTCTGCGACTGAACGACTGAACTCGTGCAATGAGTGCGCGAGCATAAAAATGAGAATAAGAATGAGAGAAGCGCCGGGGCCTGCTGCTGAGAGCACCGGGGGCCTGCCGATAAAAAAAATGTTGTGTCCAAAATCGTTGTATGAAATGACCAGTTTATATTTTGTATGGTTAGTGGTAAAACTTAGTAGAGCTTGATTCTGTTGTTAAATTAAAACTCATTTTAACAAATACTAAACTAATAATGTAAGGTTTCTGGAGTGCTGAGAGTGTGTTTTACCAAAAAACATTAGGGTAATTCCAAATTTATGGACTACATTTGTATTTAGAAAATGGCGCTAAATATCGAACACTTGCGGAACCTGCGGGTGGTGGAGAATACATTTATAGAGTACTTTTAATTAAGAGCACCAAAATATACTGCAAAATTTAACTGTGTTAACTGTGTCTTCGAAAACCATCATATTTATTTAATTTACCGGTTCGTTTCTATGGCAGCTATAGGATATAGACGTTAAATAGCAAAGATTTGTTAACATCGTAATACGGTTTAAAAAGTTAAATGTTACACCATCCAATTTAAACAGAACTCAAGATGTTAAACTAAAAATTAAATAAAAAAAACATACTAGACGGATCACATGACACCTATGGGATTTAGAGGTATAAAAAGACAATTTCATAAGTTTTAAGCTTTGAGCTTTTAAATTAAGACTCGCTAAAGGCAAGAATATATCGTCGCAAACGTCTCCACCTTTGCGTTACAAACATCTGACCAAAATAAGAATGCCGTCTGCTAGGGTATTAAAATCCAGTATAAATATACAATCTTTTATCGGGGCTTTTATTTATATGAAATAAAGTTCGCAACATTAAACAAAATTTCATAACATTTTCAAGAAGCTTTACTCAAATAACGGGTATACGCTTTTTGTAATTAAAATGCAAATTTTTTAAGTTTATTTTGTGAGATCTCTTCTGTCCAAGTGCGATTTCATGCCAATATTAGAGCAATGCAAATCAGTGCCAAGACGTATTTAGTTTATCACTTGTATGGCAGTGCGTTGTCAGTTAATCAGATAACAACATGAAGTACTGCTTCTATTCTTTTACATGGCAAATTGCAAATTGTCAAATATTGACTATGTATCATCCGACTGCATTTTTAACTTATTCGAACGAACCGACAAATTTGATTGCCCAATAATGTCGTTTGATTTATCCATTGCGTACGTACTAGATAAGTTAACCAAGGACTCTTGTGCAATGTCTATGGCCATTGAATCTAAATTAAACGCATAGCTAGTGTCTGTTGCTGGTACATTTGGTGTGATTGAGGCCGAGTATTCTCCCAAAACATCTAAGTTTGTGATTTGTTCCAACTGCGTCAATGAGTTGGCCGAGCTGTTTAAAGAGCCCGAAAATTTTAATAATCCTGAAAAATATTTAAAAGTTAACAGGGGTTCATTATTATATAAATAAATGTATGTAATTTTACGGTTATTTTCATTATTATTCATATGCGGTAAATATGAAAGTGAAGACGGATAATATCTTGATGCCCCGACGTCCATTGTGCTAAGACCACTAATTCCGCCAGAGTCAGCAGAATGCGTTGTAGGCAAACGTGGTGACGCAACTGTGGTTTTGCTAAAACTTTCTACTAAAAGCTCAGTATTCATTAGGGGTGCTTTTGTTCCACTTAATGATCCGTCTGGAGCATTGTGGCATTTAGTAAGTTTCAAGTCCGTTTCTGTAATACCTCCATGTTTAAGACGAAGATTGGAATGGCTGTTATCCCTTTTTATTGTTAAGGAGATAGATGTCGCAGAGGTTGACAATGACGCTACATCGGTCGCCAAGTTCTTGTTTTGCCCTGAAATCAAAGATATGTACTAGAAACATGCACTGTAAACTCTATAACTACTTTACCTATTACTGGTGATTGGTTTCCACTAACACCAATAACTCCACCAGCGCCACTTGAGCTACTTGGCGGCCTAGGTAAGCGCCGTCGAAGCCATGGATGCTTCAAAGCCTCGGATGGCGTTAATCGTTTGTCTGCATCCCATTCCAAGCAGCCACGTATAAAATTCAGGAAGAGAGGATCTTTGCATCCATCTAGCGCCTTGGATAAACTCTTTGAGCATGGTGGACCACGAGGTTTGCCTCGACGTGATTGTCCACCAATTAGGACCACCATTCCATCAGACATCGTTCGGACAGTGCAATACCGTGGATACCCCTTTGGGCTGAAAAAGGATTTCGACCTCTTCGAGCTGGCTAATATATTTTTATTTGGCATGCCCAAGACTTCAATAATGCAGGCCAACTGGTCGCTTTCATTTTCACCAGGGAACAACGCGTGTCCAGATAGCAGCTCTGCTAGAATACAACCCAAAGACCACATATCGATTGCTCTTCCATATTTCGCCCCCAAAATTACTTCAGGAGCACGATAAAAACGCGACTGTATATAGGTGTATATTCGCTGATTCTCAAAGCAGGACGACCCGAAGTCAATAACCTTTAATAATTAAAAACAGAAAGATATACAATTGAATTTTGAAATTACTGTGATTGTTGTATATGTATATATAAAATGTTGTAAAACTTAAAGCTTAGTCTTCGTAGTTGTTACCAACATAAAAAACAATGTAGCAGCTCTGCTAGAATACAACCCAAAGACCACATGTCGATGACTAATTGATGATATAAATATTAGGGCGTCATAAAATTCCTGCGGTATTTTTAATGAATTTTCAAATATTTATAAAACTGGTTAATAATTTGCGATTTGAGTCAAATATGCTCCGTATTTTTCGATGTCACACTAGATGCCAACTTAGTAATGCCCCTCTAATAGGAGCTTGTTACCCTATTGGGAAAAAACTAGGAGAGCCAATTTTCCCAGGCCTCTTTTGTGGCCAACTTCCGACTACCAAGCTCGTTCGCCATTAACAGAGACGGTTTGATGACTAATGCCGAGGTCTTGGCTGCTACTATGCCGGTCTTCCTCGACCAATTCAGAGATTTTGTCGCAATTTTCGACGACTATCCTTCCAAAGGGAGGACCGGGCTCAATTCAACAATCTTTTAAAAGTACCAATCAGCGGACACTCCAGTGGTGTCACCTGGTTCGTTGTGAAGCAATGCCACATCGTTAGGAATAGCGTTTTTACTAAAAAATTGTTTTGAGGCATATTATTAATAATGATCATGATCAACTTTCGTACCAAGTTGATCGGACGACTCTATCTAAAAGCTGCCACAGGGACGAATTTGTAAAATTTGATAAATTTGGATGTTTTAAAGAATACAACAGTTTTAATATAATATAATATAATAATTTAAACTGTTACTCGTAGAGTAAAAGGTTATATTGTATTCGTTAAAACGTATGTAACAGGTTTCCAACCCTATAAAGTATATATATTCTTGATCAGGATCAACAGCCGAGTCGATCTAGCCATGTTCGTCTGTATAGACGTCGAGATCTCGGAAACTATAAAAGCAAAAGTTTTGAGATTTGGCATACAGATTCTAGTAATTCCTACATCCTACAACAAAGCCACACTCACTCTTACGCGCACAAATCGTGAAAGTGTGTCACTCTGTCACTCTGAGATATGTTAGACCGTAGCTATTGGAATCCTTGGAAGACACGAAAATCGATTTAATTATTAAAGTTCGTCTTTATAAAATCCCCTATTTATTTACATAGTACTTTTTAAATCCAGGAAGTATTTAGTTCTCAACCTTTCGGAATTGGTTCATTTAAAGGTTTGTGAAATGCGGAAAAACAAAACCGCTCGGAGTTCTGTGGCACCCAAAATTTTTCCCGCTGAATGGGTTTCCGCTGATTCGCAAACAACGCCCGAGTTCTGCTATTCCCTTGATTTACTTTGACACATGAATTTTTTAAAAATACTACAATCTGTTTGCAAAACACAGAGAAAATTATTGCGTATACATACTTGTATATAGACTTACCTTGATGCCAGACCGACCCTGTTGTTTTAAAAGCACATTTTCTGGTTTCATATCACAATGAATAATGTCATTTTTATAAAGTGCATCCAAACATTGAAGCAGTGAGTGCGCAAACTTTCGTACCAACTGCAAACTGAAACCCTTGAATCCATTTTTTTTTATTAACTCATATAGATTAATGCTGAGGAGCTCAAATGTAATGCAAGTATGATTGCGAAATGTAAAGTAGTCAAACATGTGTATTATGTTCATTGTATTATATTTATCGTGGCGACGCAAATGATGAAGAATGCGAATTTCTTCTTGTGCCTGACGGTGAAACCGCTTTTCGTTGCGCACTATTTTTAAGGCAACATGCTCGTGAGTCTTATGATCGTATGCTTTAATCACCTGTCCGAAGCTGCCTTTTCCGATTATCTTAAGCATTTCATAACGATATGCCACATGGTCATGAGGTATATGAATATATGCACCTTGCTCATTATCATAATCAGAATTATTTGGCCCATAGATTCCTGGGCGTTTCTTAGCATTGGCACCAATAAAATAAATCTGTGGATAGGTAACTATTTCCGTACGCTCGTAGGGAGTCAGCTTATGCATGTATAAAATCATAACTTGTTGCGGTGAAACGACGAGTACTTTTGGTTTCTCATGCAACTCACTTTTTTGTTGGCCTGACATTATTATTTGCTCATGAAATGAAAAAGTGTCGTTTTCCATTACTAAAGTTTCTTTCAACAAATCAAGCGATTCACATTTGGGTTCCGATTGTGATTTAGAGCTGCCGGAAACAGCACCTATATGTAACACGGGAACATCAGTTTTCTTTGAAACTGCCTTTACATTAGGCAAAGATAAGGCTGAAATGTAAATAAGCAATAAGATCATTTTATTCCAAGTTTATGGCGCATAGCAGTTACCTTGAATGGACCTCGAATCTTCACACCCATCGGATGTGGATAAATTATTGACATCTGCACTGTAATTGGCATATTTATTTGATGACTGCTGTGGCAAATCTTCTTTAAGTTCATTAAGCATTCCCGATGATCCATAGCTACCGCTGAAATATTGTAATCCACTGCCCCGACACGGGTGATGACTTGAATTATGAGAATTAGTTTGAAGTATGCCAGTCTGAGCGGAATTTGAGTTAATCATCTGAATTTTAAGCTGAGGTAGTGATATTGGGGATGAAGGTGTTTTTGAGACTTGTAAGTTTTCCGGAAGAGTTGTTTTTAAATTACTTTCAACAGTGTATGTGCTATTTTCGCTTAATGCGTGCGTTTCAGATAATTCGATATGATTATTTTTTTGCTGAGAACCAACCATAGTGCGGTGACTATGGGTATTTTTGTTAAAAAAGTTTGAAAATTGATAACTTATATGGAAAATATTTTATAGAAGTAATTTTAATTATTATATGTTTGGTTTTTATATTCAAAATTACTTATTGGCTGGATTCAGACTAAACATATGTATTTTAAGGTCATTCCATTAGCTACCTTAAAGGAAATCTCTATTCCTTGCCTTTTAGTTCGTTTTAATCATTGACATAACTCTTAGTGCAATCTTCAGATATATTTTTGATTATTAGCCTTCAAATCTGGCACCGAATTTATTTTACATATATGTATGCATATTTAAAACACCATTTTCCTGATATTTAATATCGAATTCAAACGTAATCAAACATATATTTTTATAAGATTAATTTAACTTGGGGGAAATATTAATATTTTTCCCTATGTAATAATGTTTCAGGCTATTCGGTCTTTTTTTTATATTTTTGGTTTTTTATGTGAAATATTAAAATATTTTATTTTCTCCAAACCATTTCCCTTATAAATCATTGAACATATGTAAATTCAATGGCAAAGTTATTTCACTGACGTTTTTAATGCAAAGACGCTACCTTTCACGTGTGTCATACAATGCATTTTATTAGGTTTCTTATTAGAAGTTTGTTTTCTCAAAAATATTCTTTTGCTTTCGTTGTTTTGATGAAGATATAAGAAGCGGCGATCCATACATGTTGTTTTTCTTTAACGCTAAAATAAACAAAGCTTTCATGTACTAGTTGAACATTTAATTAAATTGTATTTTGTATACATATATAACGCTCAGATTCAATTGGTTACTAAAACAATAACTGAATTTAATAAGTTTTTAAAATCCACCTCACTTTAAAAAACTAACTCATACTCTTACATATGAACATAAGTACATATCCGTAATGCAAATATTTATAATAATAATACCTCAACGCAGTCACTTTTGGAATATTGTCAACACAGTATTTTCACGCATAAATGTATTTATTACATCCACCAATTATACACTGCTAAACACAAACTTTGAAAAGTTAAACACAGAAATAATTAAAAATTAAGCTAGAATTATTGAAATACATTGGATTGGATGCTTTTCTTTTACAATTTAACCAATTTACATCGTACAATTAAATTCGAATACACATTTTTTCAGAGCGAACAAAGAGATCAATAGTGTGGCCGTGTCATCACTATTATTTTACACCACCCGGCTCACAACTTTTTATAAGGAATTTTCCTATACCATCAATTACCCAACAAGGTTATGTACCGTCTTCACACAGCCGAAAAAATAAAGCAGCGCTTACACAGTTTCCGATTGTAGAAAATAAGTGTTGGCACTAACCATATGTTGTATGTTGTATGTTCTGTTTTTTTACATACCGAAGAACGGATATCATTTTTTTGGCTCAATGTCAACTAACTAAATTTATTTTGATTTTTTTGATAACATTCCTTAAGTTTTCAAAGATCTTATTGTTTTGTTTTATTTAAATTCATACTAATATTAATTTGAAAAATTGAAACTATAGTACAAAGAACTATAAAACAATTAGGACAATTAAAAATATGCACTATCGAGGTTCTTACAGCTCTAGGATGCACCTACTAGTTGCTTTGGTCATTGGGTGGTGTAGATATTGTATGACTCCTTTTTACGGTAGACAAAAGCTTGAACATATTTTTTGATTTTTTTTTTTTGTGGTCTTCCGAAATTCTTGTGCTAGACTTAAGATCATATTAGTCTAGTATTCTCAAAAAACCCAACGGCTTTTCTGGGATGGACTGCGTGGAAAGAGGTGTGCACCGCAGAAACATCGGCTAACTATTGCATATATTAGTCCGTCAAAGTCCGTCACATCTTAACGGCGTACTAACTGGGATAATGGAAGGTGGATGGATCTCTGTTTCTGGACAGCAAGTGCATAAATTTTCACGAATAATTTACGGTTAATTAACGGCAAATTATGGTTTAAAAACTTAATGCACATTTTCTACGATTTTCAAATGTAAACTCTTCGCCGATGCAAAGAACTTGCCCTTTCCACCTGTTCCAAAAGTAAAGATAACCCGTTTCTAGTAGTCATGTGCAATCGATAATTAATCATAAGGGGTAGTAAAGTTGCCGTTGCAGACTGAACTATTTTCAAGTGCAGTATTTATTTTGCATATCTATATCTACGCTTATACGCTGATAATAAATATTTCAATAATAGTAAAGATTCATTATTCCGCTGACATATATAACCGTATTGTAGAAGCTACTTTTTGTTTAATACATTTCCTATAGCTATATACAGTACAGCCACCCCTTGTGCTCTGTTTAGTTATCGTGAAATTTACACATACATAAGTCTGTAACGTGAGTACTTTGTGGATAACGGTTTACTGAAAACAAAATACTTGTGAGCTCGATTTGGTGCAAGAGGTACATATATAAAATGAAACTTTCAACTTCTTAAAGAAAATTAACGGGTTTTTCCACCCTTACCGGTAGGACTAAAACTAATATATTTATCATTATGTGTGTAAGGTTGTGTTGTACAAATAAAATGTGAACTTGTATAAAGCTCTCTAATATATGTAAGCTAAGTAAATACGATTTAATCTACTGTCAAGGTCCTAAAGAACAAAACGAACTCTTAAATTAAAAAAAAGGGTGCCATATTTAGCATCAAACATGTTCGTTACCTCTATTCATTTGTAAAGCAATATATATATTTAATTAGCTACCCTCCCTCCCTTAAGCTAAAGGTCCAAAAATATTTACGAAATGAAAGGCTTGGCTTAACTTGTGTACATAAAAAAGTAAGAAAATAGTTTTAAGGGGTTTAGCTCAAAAATGATTTTTTAATTTTATGGCTTTTTAAGAAACTTTGATTGGTTCTTTTGCTCGTTTTCTTGTTGAAATATTCCACGCAAGGGATTTAACTTTAGCATATCCTCAGATTATAGTTTTTTCGTTGTATCGAAAGTCTAACCAAAAATTTTGTAACGCAAAGAAGGAGACATTTCTAACCCTATATAGTGTATCAAACAAAAACACCTCTTAACAAGGTAAAAAAGAAAGTCGTGACGATCGCACCATCAACATACGAATATACAAAAAATGAAAAACATTCGACTAAATAACTAAATTTTTAAATGTTCCCATTCGGGCCGCTTTACCCAGGTATTTAAACTTTTTGCCTACACAGGCATTTTTTATCGCAGCGTACCGAATGGGTTATATTTTTGTCATATTTTTCTAATTGATCCCATAAATTATTATGAATTATTTAACAATATTATTTAAATATATAAAAAAAATTTAAAAAACGTTATAATTTGTTTTATTATTTTTATGATCGGGTCTATTAAAAATACAATCCGATTTAAGCAAATTTAAAACATAAATAATAAAAATCCAAACATCTTGAAGAACTAAAAAAAGTAAAAAACAGCAAATTTATAATTATATACTACCTGCAACAGGAAGACAACTTTTGGAAGAGATTCATGCAGATAGCTTTAAAACTGAAAGACTAGTTTGGGTAGAAACGGACGCACAGACGGACTTGGCTAGGTCGACTCTCCCAGTAAACAAAAATTTATATACTTATAGGGTCTGAAATGTCTCCTATACTGCGTTGCAAACTACCGACTGAAATTATATTACCTTCTGCAAGAGTATACAAATTGAAAAACAGCAAATTAAGTGTTTATTTGCCCATGGGACCCGGGTCGTTCCGACTTTTATACTACCTTCAATAGAAGGTAGACAACTTTTGTGAAGTTTAATGTAGATTCAAAAAAATTTGCTTAAATTTGTTGCATTAAGTACATAACATAAGTCGGAACAAGCCGGTTCGGATGAAGTTCCCATAGGAACAATCGGAAAAATAAATTTAAAAAAATTATAACTTTTCTGTTTTTTGTTTTTTTTTAGTTTTTCGAGATGTAGTGATGGTTAAATATTTCAGAACTACGGTTTAAATTTCATTAAAATCGGACGACAATATTATGTAGTATATTAAAAAAATATTTAATTTCTATATGTTTTAATTGTTTAAAAAAATTCTTTTGGAAATAGTAATAATTAAATAGTTCAGATTTACAATCATCAATGTTTTAAAACATATAGGCATATAAATCGGAATTTAAGTCTTTTCATAAATATTTAATTTTTGCAATACTGCAAGTGTATATAAACATCGACTTGCCGAAGTTGCTTTTTTGCTTGTTTTTAATAAAATGGTTCTCGTTAAATTGGTGATGCATACTTTTAGGAGAAAATTCGTTTTCAGGCAGCGTTAACAGGTGCTCAGAACTACTAACCATACAACTTATAGACTGGTCATTTCATACAACAAATTTGCACACAAAAATTTGATTGCGGCAAACCCCCCGGGCTCTCTCTTTGTTTACAAATTCAAATCAGTGGTAGCAGTAAAATGTTTTGCATATGTATATGTATGTATGTATTCGAATTAATAGAAATCAGTCTTCTGAGATGGGAACAGGGCATATCGCAGTCCTGTCACTTAAAACACTGACTGCTCTTAATTGGTTGAGAAAGCTTCACACTAAATCAGTTTTATTTGTTGTTTTGCGAGCGGAAGGTGCCTGCATACCCTACCGACGATTGCTTTTAAGGGGAGCGGGCTTTTAGGACACTTGTTTTAAATGTTATGTTTAGTGATCTTTGGTTGATTTATTTTTTAGTTATTCGAAGTGTAATTTTAATTTTCTTTAACAATTTTAATTGTTTTTAAACAATTCGTTATAGTTCAAGATATTGGTACAATTCAAATTATAAAATTATTATCATTAAAATATTATTTAAACCAAAAATGCGGATGCCAATATCTTGGACTATAACAAATTTTTCAAAATTCGAATTATTTTCGGAGATACCGCCGATTTTGTGCGTTTTTCTCGGAACTAATTTTTTTGAGGTGGTTTACGTGATATTTCAAGTTCTACTGAACTGATTCCTTTTAAATTTGATATATATTTTATTTATAAAACTCTTTATAGCGTCATCCTCGGACCTAAAAAATGTTAATTAAAAGATATTTTTAAATATTTGAAATATTTGTTCAAAAACTTTTTTTGTTTTCAAGTCAATGCCATTTTTTATTTTTACTCTTGCAGAGGGTAAATCATATTTTTAATGTTTTCAGGAATATTTAATTTTTGTAATAGCTGCAAGGGTATATGAACTTCGGCTTGCCGAAATTTGCTTACTTTATTGTTATATATATATTTTTTTTAATGTGGTCATCCCGATAGCGACATCATTATTAATAAAGAATTTGTTTGAATTTTGAATTTTATGTCAACCAGGACGAACCGTTTATTTTTTTTTATTTTTTTTTCAATAGAAAACATATAAGAAAATTTATTTTAAAAATGTTATTCGTTGTTATTTTATTTTACTTGAAAATATGCCCAAAATTCAGGCTTCTAGACCAGAATACCCGCTAATTCTAAATAATTCTTTGTTTATTTTGAACCTTAATTTTACAAATCTAACCGTAATTCTTAAGGGCCGCCTTGGAAATCCAAAATGGATGCCCATATGCGATTATTTTTTCAGAGAAAATATAAATCGTGAGGGATATTTTGTACATGGTTTAATTATGCATTCATCAAAGTTGCTTAGAGAATTTTTGTAAACTTTTTATACCTTTGCAGAGGGTATTATAATTTCAGTCAGAAGTTTGCAACGCAGTGAAGGAGACATCTCCGATCGTAAAAAGTATATATATTCTTGATCAGCATCACTAGGAGAGTCGATTTAGTCATGTCCGTCTTTCCGTCCGTTTCTACGCAAACTAGTCTCTCAGTTTTAAAGCTATCAGCATGAAACTTTCTCAAAAGTTGTCTTTCTATTGCAGGTAGTATATAAGTCGGATCGAGCCGGATCGGACGACTATAGCATATGGCTCTCATAGGAACAATCGGAAAAATAAATAAATAAATAAATATTATAACTTTGGTGTTTTTTAATTTTTTTGTTAGTTCTTCGAGATATAATAATGGTTAAATATTTCTGAATTACGATTTAAATTTCATCAAAATCGGACGACTATAGCATATAGCTCCCATAGGAACAATCGGAAAAATAAATGAAACAAAATTATAACTTTGTTGTTTTTAAATTTTTTTTAGTTCTTCGAGATAAAGTAATGGTTAAATA